GGGGGGGGAGCTAATAGACATGTGTAGCGGGAAACGCCGCGGGAAAAATACGACCCTCCTTCCAGCAATTCTATTTTCCCCAGCTTCCTCCCACTTTTCCGCCAAAATTTCCCGAAAATTTCCCTACTTTTCACCCAAAAATTTTGCTGTCGAGCGGGGTGGGGGGTATATAGTACACATGAAACAGGAAAATCACGAAAAGTCAACCACCTCTCCCAGAAGGCCAGAAAGTAAATAGAAAGTAAATACGACCCCCCCCCCCCCCCCACCTCCCCTCCCAACAACGAGCAAGTACGACCTCCTCCCCCTTTTTACAACGTCCATGAAGCGAGAAAAATCAACTATCAAAATAAATTTTTCTCAGCCAAATACGACCCCCCCCTCTCCTGGCGACCAAATACGACCCCCTGTTGGGGATTCCCCAACAACGATGTGCCCTGACCACGACGACTGTTCCACTGGGCGAAACGTGTGAAGCGCCATGATGAGGTCACACAAGCAGGACATATATCTCGATCGCGTCGTCTTCGGCTTATATCTAAAAGCATCTTATCCCTCTTTGATCGGTTCCCCGCTCCTTCATTCGTTTGCCTACGTATAGTTTTGTTCAAGCAGTGCCGTGACATGCATTCTCTATAATGTGTGAAAATCGCTCTCAAGTTGTTCTTTCACCTGTACATACACATGTCCATATTCATGCATGCGCCAATTACTTACACTTTCGAGAGCCTCAGTTGTATCCTGCAACAGTCATCGATTCTCCTTATGTTCTCGTTTGATCGTCTTATATTTAGCTTGAGAAGCCTATTGACGTCTTAAGAAACGTGCCTACTTTCTACTCAACCGTCTACGTACTAGGAGACTACTGAGTTACTGCCTCACCTAGAACCTTAACCTGGACCTCACACTTTTTTCGCCCATCAAAGCGCGAGGGGCTTGCTGCACGCCCAGTTACCATAACTGACAGTTACTAATTAGTGACAATCACCATAATATGTAGTAATTACAAACAGGGTACACCATCGTTGTGTGAAACACATGGGGGGGGGGTCGCACTTGGCCGCTGGGAGGAGGGGTCGTATTTGGTCGTTGTTGGGAGAGAGGGATCGTATGTGCCTTCGAGAGAAATTTGCCGCGTTGGGGAAAAACTTTCCCGGTTGTTGAATTTTCGCGTTTTTTTTCCCGTTTCGCACGGGCTATATGCGCTATTTACCCCATCCCCCCAGCTCGATGGAAAATTTTGGGTGAAAAACTGAAATGAGGGAACTTGTGAAAAACTGGTAGGAAGCTGGGAACTTGTAGGAAAGTGGTAGGTAGGTGCTGGGCATAATGGGGTCGTAATGACACCACCATTCCACACATCACAATGCTGTACCCTGATTACAAAACCGATAGTAATAGCTGCATACACCTCTGAGACCTTTCTTAGCACGATTTGCAACGGAGGGCAGACGTTATCAAAACAAACTACTTACTTACTGTCTACTTCATTGATCGTCTACGCATCCGTCTGCTCTTTTATTATAGCGTTTGCTTACGTATTTGTCTACAAAGCCTCATCCTGAGGCGTGAATATGGACATCGAAAACCAAAAAAACTTCTGTGTATTACGGCTAACGAGACATTTGTTATCCTTCTTGATTGCTCATCTTTTCTTGACGTTTTTTGGCACCACGCCAGATCGTATTCGTTTCATAAATTCAGTGCGTTTCAACATCGTCTTACGTCAAGTACGTTTGCACATTTTTCTGTGAAAGCAAATTTCATTCCTTGCTCAGATGGAGCGCACGTTTTGTTCTGTGCAGCCGCAATTTTCTCTTCAAGCACCACCTGCCACATCTCCTGTACGGCATCATCGGCCGTCAGTATGTGAGTGTATTGAAAATATTCTTTTTAGTTCTGTAGATGAACTAGATCGCTAAAATGCGCCTCCTTTCAGCCGGTCAGTCCGTAGATTCAGCTCATTATCGAAAGTTCCTCAGCGATCGAAGGAAAAGCTACAGAAATCGCAGTTTGGTGAGTTTCAAAGTTTAATCTTATTGAAATATCGAATTCGATTCGTGGGTATTGAAAACACGGCACGTCATAAGTTGTGGAATCCCCAGCGGGGAGTTGTATGTATTTAGCCTGACAAAATTTTTTCTGATAGTTGATTTTATACCTCTTTAATGGGGTTATCCACGTCGCTGGGAGAAATCCAATGGCGGGAGGGGTTTTACCTGCTCGTCGCTGGGAGAGGATTTTGAAAGAAATTCGCCTCATTCTCCGGTTGAATTATTGATTTTCGTGAGACTTCTCCTTTTTCTTCAATGCTGTATACCCATCGCCACCGGGAGACGGGCAGCAGAATCGAAATTTGCCACTCTGCCGCGCGCGGCGATGGACGCGGCGTTTTCCTAACTCGTGTTCCTGTCGATTGGAGCACCGGACTTCATGTAGACCCCGTCATCGTAGACATTCATGACTATTTTCGGTTCTGAATTGCCTGTTGTCGCCATCTACTACCTGGAACCATCGTCATTTGCGGGCGACGCGACGCCCACCGACGCGGCGAGTTATGATTCTCTTGTCACATACCCATCTCCTCCCCCCTCTCCCGCAAGACTGCAAGATTTTCGGAAACATTTTGAAAATTTTGGGGAAATTCCGATATCAGTTCGATAACGGTGGTAAGAAGCTGCGAAAAATTGGCAAGGGAGGAAAGACAGTAGGTAGGATAGGGGGAGGGGTTCGTTGCAGTGGACAAAGTTGAAGGGCACATTCCAATATTTCCTCCAGCGGCAGTACTTGTCCTGGTTGTGAATTGAGATCAACGAGCAAACAGTGCGCAAAACCATTGCTTACAGTCTCGTTCCCTGCGTATGAAGGGGCGTGTCAGTCAGACTTTGTTTGGCGCACGCCAGCCCATACTTCATCATTGTTAAAGAGGGTAAGCGGCAACAAATGGTGCAAACGGCTGATAGGAAATATGATGCAGCTCTCTCGCTTGCCGAAAAAAAAGAAACGTTTTGGCGTCGCGCTAAACCCGTCCGCTAACAGCCCCCATCATCCGCAGCGAAGTAGACTGTTCAGGTCAGCCCTACTTAAGAAAATAGGAATCACCCTTGAGATTCTTACTAAGTTGATATTTTGACACAGGTTAAGGTTATCAAAAGCGAGGAGCGCCATATGTAGACAGGAAGTATACTGCTAATACACTTCAGGAAAGAATTTTATTTTACTGAGTAGAAGCCGCGTGGCGTCCTTCCCGAAAATCGCTGTTATAGCGTCTTACCAAGGCGGGCATGCCTGCTCTGAATGCTTCTACCTTCTTTTTCACTTTCCACTTTCTCATTTGTAGGGCATTCATGATTTTTGAGACCTAACATATCCCAGCTTTTCACAAGCGTTAGGTAACTCACTCACTCGGTGTCCTGTCCCCGTGACAAGGCCCATATCCTGGTTCGCCACATGTTTCTTGCACATTTCATGCATTAGCAACTGCTGTCCCTTAACTGTCAGCGTTACATGGTCTGCAGAAGGACCACGCAAAAAAATTCAAGATGTCACGCAACCGAGCATGCCTGCCCCATACGCCTCCCGAAACCGCCCGCCCACCAATGGATTCACCGGTCAGCGATTGGTCAGTGTCGGATCAGCTGTTTTTGCCACGACCTACAGTCAGATGGTGCTCTTTCAACTTAACCAGGGTACCTTCTGAAGGAGTAAGTTCCTACCGGTAACAAGACTTTTTTGACACGTTGCCAGGCAGTTAATAAGTGCCCGTTTCGAGCGTTTTCGGGAGTTTCATCTCGTTTTTGCTTCACAGTGGCACTATTTAGCGCTTCTGCACCAATTTTCCGTCGGAAACCAAATTATTGTGCCCGCTGCCTTGAGGGACGACACAGGGAAGCGTAAACGTATTGGGAATGGTTAGTCCCACCAAAACACACACATAAACGCGTCAAATATGAGCATTCCTCCGCTCGGGGCCTGCCAAATGGTACCAGATTTATACGTGAGCATAAAAAATGGATATTCTCACTATAGTTCCCTGCATTTCGCTGTCAATGCCAAATATGTACAGCTTTGAAGACCATACAAGGGTCAATACATCGAGTTGGTGCGAAGCAGCTCCCACAGCGGTAGATATCCCACACCAGCGGAGGCAGGGTCCTGGTAAAGTGGAGGCAGCACAAATAGTCCATTTTTCTAACTGCAGCACTTCGATCGCTGAGGAAAATGTAAATCAGCAAAGTATCACAAGATAAAGATAAATCTTCTTTTCGGATTGTTCCACTCATTTTGGGGTGTTTTGCAATAAGGTTTCTGGTGCCCCCTTATGTTTTTACATTCATTTTCGACACGATTGCGAATGGAGTTCAGTGCGCTTTTCGTTGTAAGACCAGTCGCTTTAACTCCTACTATTAGGTCGTTGCAAAAGAAATGCAGGATTTTGTTTTTTTGTATTTAATACTTATTTTATTCCAATAAAATGTAAGTGTTATATATCATTCGAAAGCTTATCTAATGCTCTTTCTAAATGATACTTCAAGATTGGTTGTAATTCTTTTTAGAGGCCACAAAATCGTTGAAGGCGTTTTTGGCATCGTCTTGGTTTTTGAAGCATTTCTCTTCTAAGATAGTTGTCCAGATGCTTGAAAAAGTGGTGATCGGTGGGCGACAGGTCTGGTGAGTATGGTGGATGAGGCAGAGTTTCATAGCCCAATCCGTTTATTTTCTGGAGGGTAAATTGTGCAAAGTGTGGTCGGGCATTGTCGTGGAGAAGAGTCCGGAATCGTGGAGTCCCTTCATATTGACCAACCTTGGGCACATGCGTTAAGGCTTCTGATGCATTTCGTCGATTTGTTGACAGTACTTCTCTGCCGTAATTGTTTCACCAGGATTCAGGAAGCTGTGATGGATGAGACCGGCGGCAGACCACCAAACATGAGGTTCATCTTCAAGGCTGGTGTTGCCAGAACGAAACTTCTGGAACCAACGTTGGACCGTACATTCGTTGACACTTCCTTGACCCCAAACTTCGTTAATGTTTCGAGCTGTCTCGGCAGCGTTTCGGCCTAGCTTGAACTCATAGAAAAAATAGTGCGAAATTCACGTTTTGACATCTGCAATAAAACGTCAATAAAAATGATAATAAAAAGAATTACAACCAATCTTGAAGTATCATTTAGAAAGAGCATTAGATAAGCTTTCGAATAATATATAACACATATTTAACATTTTATTGGAATAAAATAAGTATTAAATACAAAAAACAAAATCCTGCATTTCTTTTGCAACGACCTAATATTTATGTACCTTCGCGAATGCAAAAAAAGACTCCCGCAAAGGAATGAGATGGCAATATTCTGGCAAAACGTCACTGTGATGGTGAGCCAATTGGCCACATAGCAGTAAATAGTAAGAGAAAGGTGTTAGAGTAGTTGGATGCAAAGAAAAGAGATTTGTAGAGCCTGCACGCCTTTGTAATAATTAGAACAAAAGCAAAAATGAAGATTTTGCCATTTTCACGTCCGTCTATGGTCAACTGCCACGCCATCGAATTTTCTAGATGCCAGGTTCAAATGAAAGATGGGCATAGAGGAAATAACATGCTTCTGCTCAGTCCCATTCTAAGGGCACCTGCGAAAACTGAAGTTGGCCTAATATTTGCTTTCGACCCTGGGACCTGAATATTTCTCATTTCGTCGATATCAAACATAGTCACATAGTTTTCATTTCCATTGATTTCTCTTAGATGAAGTCAAATGAGCGCATTTTCAGGGTGCAACGATCGCCTCAGCGCCATCGGTGGAGCAGGAAGATTACCGTACACCGAAACCGTCGTTCGATAAAAATGGTGGCAAAAGTTTTGACTGTTGTGGGCCGACTGGTTCGCTTGCTTCCGACTCCAACGGACTTGTCAAGGTGAGTTAGGGGGAACATAGAATGAGAGCAAGAGCTCCAGCAGGACGAGCCGGGTACTTGGTTTTTTTTGTACAATCACTTTCAATGCCCTCAGTAAGCGTGAGCGTTTTGAAAAATTCATAAATAACTTTCTTATTGAAGCGAATTTAAATTCCGTTTCTGTGTGAGTGTCCTTTCCATAGTAACTTCATTAAGAGCTTTGCTCACCCAAGGTGATATCGCTCACGCATTGGGCATTCAGCCAGGCGTTGTAATCTTCTTTACATTCCATGTCCTGCGAATGAGAGGAGTGGCTACGCACTTCATCTGAAAATGACGTAGAGTGTCATGACGTTGCCATGTTATATTTCCCTTTGAAATAACCATCATCCTCTGTTGTGCTGGACCACAGCAGGTTGGATTGGTTTTAATACGGCCAGTGTCCTATCAGAAGCTTAGTCGCCCTCACGTTCAAATAAAGCAAGAGCAGGCAGTCACGCCCACTCCATCCCTGGGATATGCGGTATAGGTGTTGAATTGCCCAGCAATACCAACTCACGCAATGGAGCTTACAGGTCCTGTTTTCCGTTCATTCACGTTTCTTTGAAGCCATTTAGGGGTGAGCGTATAGGCCACGAATAAGCGCTATTTCGCAACATTAAAATACTGAAAAAACTTGTTTTTGAAATACAGTGCGAAGCGTTTCGTCTCAGGTAACGTCACCAAGGTGCTTACGTCCACCTCGGCTTACTCACGCTTTACCTATAATCTGATAGTTGTCATAGCAGTCACCGCCATAAAGGCGTCTTTTTCCACTAATCATACACATACTCGCCGTCCTGGTTTCAGGTAATTGTCCTTTGAGAACAAAATTACTATTGCACTTATTTTGATTCTTTTTCGACTGTCTCAAGATCCTAGCATTTTTGAATTTGTATCCGTTTTCATTCTGCTAAACTAAATTTATTATAGTACTGTAGGACATCTTTTGATTAATAACTGAAAAAGTACGGTAACTTACTTTTCTGATAGACTCTCATCAAAGACCGCCAAGGTAGCTGTTTCAGTGGGTTAATGGGCCTCTTTCGGGGAGAAATGTCCCAGGCGGAGCTGGTATGTCGTGTCACCCACATTTGGGTGCAATTGACCGTTTCGCAAGTCTTGATTGTTCGGGTCTCTGGGCATCTGTCAATCTCGAGGCCTCTCTTTCCTCTTCCCTTCTTTTCCTTCTTCCTTCTGTTTTCCCTCCTCCTCATTTTCCTCCCTTCAACTATTCCGCCAAAGATGCGATGAAGGACCTACATACCTCAGTACCCGTACAGCAGAGAATATCCGATAAATGTTTCACGGCCAAATTTCGAATCTCACGAGCTAGACTTGGCCATTTTCATCGTGCTATCCTGCCCCAAAAGATCCTGCTTATCTTTCTATGCTTGGAAGGTCTGAATAGCAAGAGGAGGCTAGTCCTCATTTATAACCGAGTTATCTTGGTAGAAATCTCCAGAATTTGGTTCATTCCTCCTCCTTTTGAAAATATATGGTCTGGCTGATAACCAGTCTCAGCTATTCTTTATGGTACCTGGAAGAGTATAATCACATAGAAACAGCTCAATAGGCAGCTGGAGGTTGGCCTGCACCATGCCATTACCTTGCTCTGCGGCATTCCGCAAGCAATCTCTTGTTCATGAACTGGTTTAATGTGTTCCTTTCTTACTGTACTTTTTACTTGTTTTGTTTTGGCTATTTATATTAGCTTCTGCCGCATTGTTGGAAATCAATATTGAGAGCAAAAACAAATTTGCTGTAGAGATAACGGAATGCAGATTAACAAAGAAGGTTAACTAGAGGGTCCTCCTCTCGTAAACACTGTCAGAAAGAGGAGCAAATGTGAGGGACATGATGGGAGACCATTAGCTTTGAGTGAATACGGAAGCATATATGGGCCATCGCAGGGGGGTAAGGCTCTCTACGGTTGCACTCTATTGTAGAGGTTCAGGCTCTGGCGCAGGATGCAGCTTAGACACCGACCTAGCTGGTCCGCCAACATCACCAAAGCAAGGGATAAGGGAGTCCACAGATATGGACCAGCAGGAGCCCTCGCCAAACTGTGCCTTCTTCACCATCCAGTGCCCTGCCTTGGGTTTTTCAGAGTTCTCCACAGTCAAGAGACAAGAACACCATTTAGCTCTGCTCACGCCTTCTTTACCTGCAATCCTCGATCGCGTGTACACGCCAATGGAGAGTGCCCTCACTCCCTCATCAGACCGGGGCTCCTGATCAGGTTAAGATCAGAGACTGAAGCAGACATTCAGCCAGGGCTGGTCCCTCTCACTGATTGGATTTCCTGGATGTATTTCTCAAAAAATCAAACCCATTCAGTAGAGCCTGCGTCTCAAGAGGTGGATATTAGCGGTCAGGATACAGCATAGTTATGAGAATCCCGTTAGGGGAGTCGTACTAGGACACTTGGGAAGGGAGGGTTGTATATGGTCTCGAAAATGTTCCGGGCTACTAGAGAAAATTTTTCGGTTGTTGACCCACGCATTTTTCCGTCTCACTTGTATTGCACGCCCTCACTCCCCCTTGCTGGATCAGCTTTCAGAGGAGGGGGGCCGTCTAACACCGCCGTTTCTCCAGGATCATTTCACAGGCAGAAATTAAGGGAGATGGGTGTAGTAAGGTTGTCTGGCACGGCCATCTTCCCAATTTCGATGCTGTACCCTACTTGAGTGTTTGCAGACATTCTCTTTCACGGAAGATCCGAACCCCTATGAACCTCGTTATGGGAGCAGGTATCACTCACTTTGTGCCATTCGGCTACATGAAAACCTGCGAAATTGTGGTCGCAAGGGGGTAGCGCGCTAAAGGGGACTTCATTCGTCTTCTGAATAGCTAGACTTTCATATGACAACAATCGAACAGCTGGATTTGGAAGTACAGTCATCATCCGGGCACTTGATTAGGGCGGCAAGGGTCGCGACGCGGCTGCAATGCGTCACGAGTGGGGCGATCAGCTTTTTCATCCTAATTTGGCCATTTTCTCCCTGATTTTCACTGCATCTTCCTATTTTTTTTTTCAAGACTGGCGTTTTGTCTTTATGAAGTACATGGGGGCGTGGAGTTTTTTTTATAGTCTTTGCAGTGAAGTGTTTATGCGATTTTTTTAAGGTATTTGTTCAATTGTCTGCTCAACTGTTTAATGTACGCGAAAATCAGAGGAATCTCAATCATAATTTACCTTGTGAAGACAAGGAACAACTAATCTCGAGAGCAGCCATAACAGTGTAAATTAGGGAGAAAATGGCTAAAATAGGCTGGAAACAGCTGATCGCCGCGCTTGTGACACGCCGCAGCCGCGTCGCAACCCTTGCCGTTCTGTTCAAGTGCGCGGATGGCGACTGTATAAACGCCGTTTATAAACGCCTATTTCACCTGCAAATGTAGCGATCAAGCTTATTTCCAACCCGCGGAACCTTGATAGGAAAGACGTACTTGCATACATGCGTAATCGATTTCTCAGGTCGCACGAGATAAGTGTTTCCTTATAGTTAGCTGGAAATATCTCAAAGACGTCAGTCAACAGCTAACTTAATCCCGTTTGTGACATGCATGTATCAGGCGGCGAAAAAATCCTCATAATCTATCCAAGCTTAACATATTTTCTGACTCAAACATTATCTGAGCATTGATCTTGGAGTTGTAAGGGTAGTAAGAAATTCTTGTCACGGTAGTCTCAAAGGCATCTGCCACGGTAATTCAGTACTCAGCCTAAATGCTAGCAGGGCGCTATCTAGTGGGGAAAATGGCGAAAAAACGAAGTGAAACGGTCGAAAACTGCGAAGAAAAGCCTTCGTTCTTGAAAAGCAATTTCGGACGAGTTTCCCGTAGGCGTATTGCAAATAATCCGGTAGGTACGGCTGCATGTATGTACTCATATATCCATTCAGCACTGCAGCCGCTTCATACCATTCCCTTCGCTTCATATTTTAAATAGCAAATGAAGCAAAACGAGCATCTGGTAAGGTCGTCCATTTGTGGGCGGGCGGGCGTGGTGGGCGTTTGGGTCGGTATGTTGTAGCTTGATAGGACCCTCATAAGGGTACCTCCCTAGAAAAACCCCCACGCAGCGACTGCTCAGGGTCGCCTGTCAGGCGTATCAATCCTACTCGTCTTTAGGGAATTATCTTGCCAACTGCTTTCAAATCAATATTGGTAACAGTTCCCACAAGTTACTGATAGGGCCTTTTTGCTACTCTAATACCCTGTACTTAAATACACCTGTTACTAACGTTTTTTTTTGCATTATGAAAATCGACTTAGTCCCCAGTCATCCTATTACATTACTTCTACCTACCTTATACATTGACTTCTGCCTTTCTAAAACCTTAGTTCACCCATTCTGACTTAGACGTGAAAGCTGTAGAGGCCAAACTTATAGACTCATGTAAAGATTATGCATTTGTAGTTATTCTAAATACAATTATCGTACTTTGTATCGTAATCAGGACACGTCCTGCCACTGAGGAAAAAAAAATACGATAATTGTATTTAGAATAACTACAAATGCATAATCTTTACATGAGT